GTGATTTTATTAAAATTATTTTACAGTATTAAATTTTACAATTAATCATAAAAGCTTACAATACACTGACATTATAATACATGGAAATAAATTCGATTTTTATTACATCGTGTGTAGATTAAATCTCAAAACAAATAAATCTGAAGATATCGAGTTAGTACATCGTGTCATGTATAGCCGAGCGCATCACCCGCCCCGCGTCCCGCAAACCATCAGGAGGGCCAAGCTTACGGCGGTTTAACTATAATATATAGAAACGCCATTTTAACAATCTATCAGTTCTCACTTTTATCGCTCTGCTTAACTCTTCAGCTATCCAATACGAACAACGGACAGTGTGGGTAGTTAGAAATTGATACTACGTCGGCTCAAGTGATTCAGTTTGAAAAACAACAGTAACAAATTTAACTCAGACACTGTAATCAATGCTGGTAACTGCCTTTTCCTGCTATGATCTCGTCTTCTTAACGACTAGTGTAGACCTCTTTTTCCTGTCTGATGCATCCTGAACAGAGATTTTGTTTCTTCGATCTTACAACAAAAAAGCATGTATTGAACACGAAGATACTTATTCTTACCCGAATGTTCCAGAAGGAAGGTTGTATGGTAGTACGAGTGTATGAATGTGTGTATGTTTCTTTGGCAAGCTCTATATACTAAACGGCTTGATAGTGTCGTTAGATTATTCTTAATTGTAAGAGTAACTGTATGAAAATTACAATAATAAAAATCGCCATTTAGAAGTAAGTTTTCAAAGAACCCGACAGCGTGATAATGTATAGATATTTCACGCTGTCGGGTTCTTTGTTAATAAGTTCGTTTTAATACAAATTGTAAAAAAATAAAGTGACGAATAGTAAAAATAAAATCAGATCTGATCTTAGTTTTTATTTTGTTTTATCATTACACAGTTATTATTATTCTTCGTCCATATTATGAGCATATTAAAAAGCTTCACTACTAACAAAAATACCTATAATTGATGTCTAAAGTCCGACTTGTAAAAATATCTGAAAATATTTACTTACAGAAATAAATATAATTTATTTTCATTTCTAGATTTTGGTTTAAATATGTGCCAGTAAATACAGGAATCTCCACTCTCCACACTTTACTAACTTTCCAGCAATATCAGAAAACCACTAAACAACAGGCTAAGAAATCTATTGTTCACGAAGATACAATGTTGTCCATATTAGCAGTTATGTGTGCGCGTGCGCAGTGAAAGTGACCCGGCTTTGACCTTTTGCTGCGCTCTAAAGGGCCCGGTTGGGCAATATTGATCTACATTCAAGGTTTGTTTATTGAAAAGCAGCTTGACTTGGGCAACTCAGGTCATGTTATTATTAAATGAGAGAGTTTGTTTTACCGTGGGAGACCCAGATTTGGCATATATGGGCCAGGCTCGGGTGTTAAGCAGTTCTTCCCCCTCTACCCCTGGTTTTGGTGGAAGGGACTGAAAAGGCGGCAACGCGCTTGTAACTCCTGAGTTTCAGGCGTTCGTGGGTGACCCGTCTGCTCGTTTGCCCCCTCTTCTATAAAAAAAAAACACTCGTGACTCTTGAGTAAAGGAATTTGTTATAATATATTATTACCAGCAGCAAGTAGCAGCTTACAGCTTGAGCTAAGTCCTCCTCCAGTGACGCCTCTTGGCGTTGTATCTGATAGTATTTCTAGTGCGCATTCTAACCCATTGAGGGATAGGTCTGTTTTGTTTCAGCTTTTTTGCAAGTTTGCGCTTTGTAATAAATGTTTTGTGGGCCGACATTTTGCCGACCACAGATGTCAAAACAAAGTGAGTTGCACTCGCCTATGGGCGGCGGTATTTGACATACCATCACCTCGGTGTCCCATCTGTATATTTGCCCAGCTATGGAGATATGTTCCTGTATATTTTACGTCTGAAAATTTGATTTTAAGGTACATAGATGTATGGCAGGGTATTTTAAGACCAACAACTATATCATCATCACATCACAAGCTTTTAATAGTCCACTGCTGGACTAAAGCCTCTCCTTAGAAAGGAGGTTTTGACCTACTATACCTCACAGGCCAGACGGATTGGTAAAGGGTTTGTGTCATGTTTTCCTTTTGATTGCAGTGCTGTTGTCCTGCGTAGTTTGCTCCCTTAGTCGGTTCTTAGACAACCACGAGATGAATAAGGGTTCTGTCATTCCGTATTCCCACGGACAACAATATATTACTTTTTTTACTTTTTTACTTTTATAAAAAGACAACTCCCGCATTAGGAATATATCCTGTGTCAGACTCAGAACAACAATTTGTGAATCACACAAAGTGTCGTCCCATGTGGGGTTTGAACCCACAACACTCGGCGCAGTAGAAAACGGCGTGGCGACCGTTTAAACCACTACGCCATCCGTGCAGTCGCATTACGCTCGTCAAAGATTGTTTTCATATATTAGTTTTGTTTCTCATTTCACGTCAATGCAACCACAACATACTACAGCGATGCGTGGCAGGGCACAGTTAGTGATGAAAAAATATTATGAATCCAAAGGTCGGTTGTTAAAACTATAAACTGTTAATTAATATTACTTACGGAAGACATGAGCGTTAAACAAAAACTGTAGATATTACGTTGTTTTTGCTTGTTTCTCGGCAAATAATTACGAGAATAAGTAACTCATTCATTTGTAATTAGCAAGTTTTGTTTGTTGTTGGACTTTTATTAACGTACGAGGTCTTGTAGAACTCTCTTGTTGTGTATTTGGCAGACAGTGTTGGCAAAATATGCTTTTTATTATAGATTAGCTATTGCCCGGGGCTTCGATCTCGTGATTGAAAATGGCGAGCTTCTATACAACCGTTCATCCCTTATGTTACCCGGTTAGCTGTGAAATTCCCAAAAATCCTTTCTCAGTGGCTGCGTACAATTAATTGAGTCCTCGATTGCCTGCCTGACTGATTCATCAACGCAGAGCCTAAATCGTTGGGAATACAAACTTGAAACTAACATAAAAACTAACACAACTAATTTACAAGTTATCTACAACTTGTAACAAACTAATTAATCAAGTCTAAGAAGTCAATTTAACCGATTTATTATTTTGGTATTTAAATCAAACTTTGAGTTTACATGTTATTCGGATTATAGTAAAATAATTTGGTGTCTTGGAATTAATGATGAGGCCAGGATCTGTATACTTAATGGAACTATTCAGTGGACAAATAAAAAATATGGCATCCTGCTCCAAAACTAGTCAGAACCTGTGCTATGGTAACCAGACTGCTGATAAACATACTTATATACTCGTATTTCTAAATACACACATCTATACTAATATTATAAAGCTGAAGAGTTTGTTTGTTTGTTTGTTTGTTTGAACGCGCTAATCTCAGGAACTACTCGTCCGATTTGAAAAATTCTCTCAATGTTAGATAGCCCATTTATCGAGGAAGGCTATAGGCTATATACCAATGAATAATGTTTCAAAAACGCAGAAAATTTATTACTATTGAAAGACGCAGACGAAGTTGCGCGAGACAGCTAGTTCAGACGCAGAACAAGTCACCGAGCTCCTCTCACGGTTATTTGTCCTATGTTACCCTAAAATCAATTGTACCTACAGTACTAACTGCAATTGGCTGAGTCCAGAAGGCGCTGTGTATACACATAACCTATCGGAAAAATCTTTAGTAATCTTCCATTCAACCGAGTTATCTCGTATGGCCTTGTTGCTGCGACAATAAGGGCACAACACCGCCCTGACCAAACTCGTCAAGGTACCTCGAGGTCGTCCGGAGGTCAGAAGATGCTCCAATCGAATAGCATGGTGCATTAACTTCGTTACAAATTATTGTGATGTAGTAGCGTATTATAAATATTACAATAATATTACAGTACTCACGCCATTATCTTTGAAGCTATAAGCAGAGACGTATGAAACACCTATATATACATATGCATTTTACTAATACAGTGATCCTTTTTTTTTTTACGTGTGGAAATCCCCTCGGACCGTCACCCCGCCGGGGCTCTCGTTCGGCGGGGCGGTGTGTCGGACTCGAACCGACTAAAACCACACGGTGTGCCCTCTTTGCGCTTCCAGTTTAGGAGGGATCCAGGTAGCTATCTCCTTCTCCTTCCCAGCGCCGGCCCGCTCCTGGTGCGGGCTCCGTCTCAAATTGACCTCTCTTTAGGCGGCGTCCGGCACACGCGGGCGCCGCCCCCTCGCGGCTGGCCAAACTAATGCGGGTGGAGGGGAGAACCCATCCCCTCCACCCGCGGCCGCACTCAGGGCGGCATGAGGCGCAGGTGAGCGCGCCTCCGCCGCCCGGTTCCCGGCGACTAATACAGTGATCCTAAGTTAAGCCACAGGACTTCGATTCCCACCCAGGACAAACAATTATGTGATGAGTGTCATTATTTTTTCTATGTTTGTTTTGTAATTTATTTATAACATGTATGTATTTAGAAATATATTAGGATATTTATCATTAGTCTGGTTATTATCATCATCATCATCAACAGCCTTTAATAGTCCACTGCTGGACATAAGCCTCTCCTTAGAAAGAAGGTTTTGGCCTACTATACCACGCTGGCCAGACGGGTTGGTATAGGGTTTGTGTCAAGTTTTCCTTCTCTCTGCAGTGCTGTTGTCCTGCGTAGTTTTTTCCCTTAGTCGGCTCTTACGACACCCACGGGATGAATTGGGGTGGTGACACTCTGTATTCTTAATCCGTCCCCACACGGACATTATTCTGGTTATTATAACCTAACTTAATGTAAGGAGGTCTTTTGGAGATGTATGAATTTATTATTTTTATTGGAAATTGTAAGCAACAAAGAGCTCAAGTAAGTCAAGGCCAAATACTACCGAATACAATTTTCAAGTTAATTATGTAAAACGATATCGTTACGATGCGAATTATAATTTTGTTTTACGTTTGAAGTTTATAACCGACTTAGTCCAAATCCAAACTATCATTGCGAGTTTGTGTAAGAAGATAACCTTAAAGACGGACAAAAGGCGAGGCTACTCCAAAACAGGTCTCCTCAAAGTCAAAACAACATCAGAAATGAATCCTTAAAAAACAAAAATTATGCCTTAGGAACACACACCACCATCATTAAAAGAGGCCAACAGAAAGACTTATCATTTTCATATCAACAGTTCCACGTAATCATTTCCAGGATTATGCAAAAGGAGGTTTAAGTTTAACAATATTTTTTTAATATTATTTTGTTCCACAAAGAAGGTTTTTATTCTCATCGTTTGTTAGAATAACAAAATGACTGCAAAAGCGGTAAAGCTGCATAGGGACTTGGTTACAACAAATGCCTTTAAATATTTCGTAATACTAAAGACTTATTTGCCTCCTTACTTTTTTTTAAGACAACTTCCGCTCTAGGAATATATCCTGTGTCGCGGGGGACTTTACAAACATACATGGAAACGGACACAAAGAACACCCAGATTCACAACAACAATTAGTGGTTCACACAAATTGGTGTCCCATGTGGGGATCGAACCTACAACACTTAGCGCAGTAGGAAGCGGCGAGGTGACCGCTTAAACCACTACGCCATCCGTGTAGTCAAATTTATTATTATCATGTCAACATTAAAGAGATTAGGGTTTTTTTTTTTAAATCGGAAAGCTGTCTTTATTATTTACCTACCCCCTAACTAACCAATTTGATTGGAAGTTTTAGCTCGACTTGACTTTACTTGGTTTAAGAGGTCACCTCGTCACTCCCTACTTCGCTGAGCGTTTTTAGTTCGATCCCCACATGGGACAACACTTTGTGTGATCCACAAATTTTTGTTTTGAGTTTGTATCTGTTTTATGTATGTTTGTACAACACGATATATATTCCATGTGCGGGAGCTGAGCTGAGTTAAGAAAGTTTGTTCCTTTTAGACTTGTCGCCAACCTGCTGTTTACCTTTACAACAAAAAATCATTTCTGAAAAGGGCAAAGAAAAGATTCGGTAAAAACTTTGGTTGTCAGCAGAGCATGGTACAAAAATGTATATTTTGCTTCAATAGACTTATAATTACTTAATATACCAGCTTAAGAAATTAGTAAAGGTGTGCTTAGTTATTTGTTCGTGTCATTTCGTTCTTAAGGTCAAATAATGCGTTCTGTCAACAGTTATCACGACTCAGTATTACGAAAGAGTTAGTATTTCACAGTACCACTATTCCTATGAATTCTGCTATCACAAAATTCATAATTTAGAAGGGTTATATATAAAAATGGTCCGTGTGGTGACGGATTAAGAATACAGAGTGTCACCACCTCTATTCATCCCGTGGGTGTCGTAAAAGGCGGCTAAGGGAGCGAACCACGCAGGACAACAGCACTGCAGAGAGAAGGAAAACTTTTCACAAACTCTATACCAACCTGTCTGGCCAGCGTGGTATGGTAGGCCAAAACCTTCTTTCATAGGAGAGGCCTATGTTCAGCAGTGGACTATTAAAGGCTGTTGATGTGATGATGTGATATATAAAAATAGTAAAATATGAGAAAGTCGTTTAGAGGCCTGTGACGAAGATGCTGTCACAGGTTAAAGTTCCAAGTTAGCATTTTAATGGACAGTAAATAATTTTTAAATTTTTCATTCTGTTTACAAAATTATGATTTGTAACACTGACTGCACGGATGGCAAAGTGGTTTAAGCGGTCGCCACGCCGGTTCCTACTACGCCGAGTGTTGTGGGTTCAAACCCCGACACTTTGTGTAATCCCCAAATTGTTGAGTCTGGGTGTTCTTTGTGTCCGTTTCATGTATGTTTGTAAAGTACCCCGCGACACAGGATATATTCCTAATGCGGGCGTTGTCTTTTTAAAAATAATAATAATTGAGAATTAAGTAGGTATTATAAGACTTCAGTTAGGAATACAGTTTAGTTAAATATCATCTTGCTATACAAGATGATATCATGATGATGGCACTTATCTTTACGATTGGACCAGCCATTGCAAGAAATCTGTTAAACACTAATTATTTTTAATCTATGATGAGCTTTGGTGTTATTCCTTCCTCCTCATTTCAACTAAAGGACAAATAGACAGACAGGTCTAAAGAACAGGACAAAGAAGACATTCTGATAAAAAAGCTTTTTGTATCAAATCTTTTAATCGTGTCCTAATCATTATCAACGGTGACCAATCTTAACCCAGTCGCCCACACGAGCTGCTAATACAAACCTCACTTAAAATTATTGGCCTTGGCAGTCCACTCCCACGTGTGGGCAACGATTTTAGTTGGCTATTCCTGCTTTAATAATTTAGGAAGATTTCTCAAATTGTTTAGTTTAAAAAATAGGATAGTTTGTTATTTTTACTGCAAATCTAATCTGATACTTATAGTAAACTGAAGTTTTCTTTGGTTTAACGCGTTAAACTCAAGAATTACTGGCCAGCGTGGTATAGTAGGTCAAAACCTCCTTTTTAAGGAGAGGCCTATGTCCAGCAGTGGACTAGTATAGGCTGTTGATGATGATGAGATAACTTCACGCTACGGCCAATAGAAGCCTAGCGGTAATGAACAATGTTACAAAAAACCGGGAAAGTTTATTCCTTTTAAGAGGCTCAGACGAAATTGCGCTGGACATCAGTTAATGACCAGAAGCTAGTTAAGGGTATGAATGCCTTGCATCAGGGACTTCCTTTCTAGGGTATACCTGGTTCCCCGGCTATTAGTACCCGAGACGGCGTGCGGTTTTAGTCGGTTCGAGTCTGACATGCCACCGACAGGTGGTATCCGAGGGGATTCCCGCACGGAAAATAAAAAAATAAAAAAGGGTATGAATGCCTGATGAAAGTAATTTTTTTTATTGTCTGTTGGATGAAATTATTGGATTAAGAGTACATCAAGTTGCTGATCCAGTTAGAATGGCCCAAATGGGTATGTAATTATGTATAAAATGGAGTAGGTATATTCCCATTCGGGCAGCATCCTTAACTTATAATTTATAATTTTATAATTTATAATTTATTTATTTCGTAAAATACAACCTTTTATATTGTAGTCCTGGACGTTCTAGCTAGGCTACTTGTATAGCCTGTGTTAAGAACAGTCCGTTGCTGAGTTCCATAAAATTAAGCAAAAGGTACATAGCACATAAAATTTTTAAATTACTTTGTATTACATTAATTGATGTGTTTGCTTGTGTGCACGTGTGAGTGTGTGAGAGTGTATGTGTGTGCGTGTGCGTGTAATGTCTGTGCATGTGTGTGAATCTATGGATTATCTACATATTATAGGCTTTTTGAAGTCATCAGCTTCTCCGTTTCCAGATAGTTTTTCTTAGAGATATATTGAGTAATTTGAGATTTTATTGAAGCATAGGAGGATTTGTGTATCGGTAAGATTTGGTTAAATTTATTATACAGAAATGGTCCTAGGTAGAAAAAGAATCGTTTGGTGAAAGTGAAGTAAGTGTGAGGTGTAGTGTAGATTTTGATTCTTCGTTTAGGTATAGCGTCTTCATGTATGTGTGGAGCTTTTGTGTGCTGTTGGAGTATAGAGCTTAATATGAAAAGTTGTCGAACTGTAAGAACGTTGCAGTTTTGATATAACTCGAAAGTGGGATACCGTATTGGGCGAAAACTAGCAACTTTAAGTACGGCTCTCTGGGCTACCTCCAGTGGTTTTAAAAGCGTTTTAGCGGCACCACCCCAAACTGTGATACAGTAGCAAATAATTGACTGACACATAGCGTAATACACGGTACGAATGATGTGAGCATTGGCGATGTGTCGAAGGGTTTTAAAAATGTAGATGAGTTTTCGTACTCGATTTGCTAAGTGTATAATGTGTGTTTTAAAATTGAGATGCTTATCAAGTATGACACCCAGGTATTTGATAGTGTCGGTAGAAGTTATTGATGGACAGTTACAATTAGGTGAGTCCTTGTTACAGGTGTGTGCTTGTAGTATAATTGGTGTCTTCGGTTGAGATGAGGAGTTAAGTGAGAATGTGATGAGTTTTGTTTTAGAGGTGTTCAGTGTAAGTGAGTGTGAGATGAGCCATTTATAGATGGTGTTGAATCCATTGAGGGCTGCAGTTTGTGTTTGTGACCATGTGTCACCATAGAAGGTAATGGCAGTGTCGTCAGCAAAGGAAATAATTTGTCCTGACAGTAAGGTGGTTTGACAAAGGTTATTAATGTAGACCAGGAATAAGGTAGGGCCTAATACGCTGCCCTGCGGGACTCCATATGAAATGGGCAGCTCATCACTTAAGTATTTGTCAATTATCACTCTTTGTGAGCGGCCAGTGAGATAGGATTTAAAGAGTTGAAGCTGTGTATCTCTAACACCCATGTTTTCAAGTTTGGAAATAAGGCATGCGAGAGGGACCGTATCAAACGCTTTTGCAAGATCAAGGAACACTGTAAGGACTTTTTTATGTTGGTTAAGTCTTTCAACTATTCCATTTACAAGTTCTAAAGCTGCAGAGGAAGTTGATTTCATTTTTCTAAAGCCGAACTGATTCCGGGACAGTAAAGCATTAGACTCCAGATAATTAATAAGCCTTTTATTCATTAGACGTTCCATGACCTTGGAGAGTGCTGTTAGAATGGCAATTGGGCGGTAGTTATTGACATTAGTACGGTCACCAGCCTTGAAAATTGGATGAATGATTGCCTTTTTAAACGAAGATGGGAAAGTGCCGGAGGCAAAGCACAGATTGATAATATGGCATAGTATGGGTGTTAGGATTACGGAATATCTCTTCAAAAAAATTGTAGAAATGCCATCATGACCCACTGCGGCATTCGATTTTAGTGACATTATAGTAGAGGCAACTTCGTCAGGGTCCGTATCTAAAAGAACAAATGATTTTCGACATCCATTCCTTGAGGTCATTGGTGGGCTACTGAAGGTATTGGGTTGTATAGTTTTTATGTGATCAGCAAGATCCTCTCCGATGTTCACAAAGAATTCATTAACCTCGTTAACAGATTGAGAGTAGGTTTTGGTAGAATTGAATAGCTCTGTTGGTGTTCGTGTAGTTTTTGTACTATGTATCACGCGTTTTACAGTATCCCATATTAATTTAGTATTGGTACCTGCTTTGGCTAACTCATCTGAATCAAATTGTCGTCTCACTTTTTTCAAGATTTTGTTACAATAATTTCTATATCTTGTATAGGTAGTTAGCAATACTGTGTTATCCGGCGACTGCCTACACTTTTTGTGCATTTTGTCCCTATTTCTCATGCATCTTAGTAACCCTGGGGTAATCCAGGGCTTTAAGATTCTTTTATGTTTTGAGATATGCTTTGCCGATGTATTTTGCTTAATTGTCTGGGAGAGTGTTTGAACAAGACAGTTTGTTGCGGAGTTGGGTTCTGACATAGTGAGTATGTGAGAGAGGTCAAGTCTTTCCATTGATTTGTCGAGAGAGACGTAGTTTGTTTTTATTATGGAAGTGACTGGATGATTGCACTGTGGCTTTAGGTGTAGAGAGAGGAGGGTCGCAAAGTGGTCAGTTACCGAAGACTCAAGAACAAAAACAGAAGATGGAGATCTGGTTCTCAGTATAGTATGGTCAAGACAGGTAGAGCCTCTAGTTGGTAGGGTATGAGTTGGCAGAAATCCGTGGTAAGCGAGAGAATTCAGGTAATCATGGGTTCGATAGTCCATGTGGTTGTTTTGATCTGCATTGATGTTAATATTTATGTCGCCGGTTATAACAACTGTTTTGAATCTATTTAAGGAACATAATATTTCATTTAGCGTGTTCAGGAAAATTTGAATACAATCGTTAGAGGGAGATCTATATATACAAAGTATAGCGACATCCGTGTCCAGTTCTATAATTAATCCAGAAGCAGACCCCTGAAAATCAGGCTCGCGGGTTTTATAAGCTAATTTGATTGATATATATACAACCACGCCGTCACTCTGATTACGGTGGTTATTGGTATGGCTTATGGAGTAGTTACGGAGCCGGGGCAAGCTAGCATTACTAAGACAGGGGAGCCAGCATTCGGAGAGAACAATAATATCGCATTCCATGGAAAGACGGGTAAGGAGTGTTTCAAAGTTATGGAAATTATGATTAATTGATCTAATATTTTGCGAGATTATATTCAGGTAGTCGCCCGGGTTTTTAATATATTTATTACAATCTTCAGGTTTACAACAATATGTTTCAGATATAGAAAGATTATCTAGTTGGCTATTTAGTAGATTTATATCGCTAAGCATTTTTGGTTATATAAGGTGCAAGTGAAAGATGACTCAGGATAAGTCTTAGATATAGATGAAAGCTTAATAATATGGGCACTGGATTTAAAGCAAAGCGTGATTTGAATGTACGTGTATGTACTTGTATGTATCCAAAGGAGTATGTGTTGTGAGGGAAGAGTAGCCATTGGTGATTCCGTAGCGTATGTAGGAGTACATTAATGTGTTTTGATAAATGTGTTTTTGTAATCTGAGTGGTAAATGTGTGTTCATACAATGATAAACAAAATTCTACATCATCAAAATTAGAATTACAAATAATTGACTCCATAATAAAAATAACAACATAAGAATGATGAATAACTGACTTAATAAAGAAATATAAAATAAAATAAAATAAACAAAGCTGACTTGTTAAAAAAATCATTATGCATGCTGATTGAAAAATAACTAGATAATTGTGTAGTCATTGACCCTTCGACAACACAGCGAGACACTTTGCTGTTTTTATTTCAGTTGGTTTTTCCGTCGGGGATTTACGCAGCAGGATTTTGCCATTGGAATACCAGCTAGAATAGTTGTGAACTTTAGCGAATGTGCGGGCTTCATATAAGAGCTTTTTAAATGATGGTGGAAGGTGCTCGTCTACGTACACCGGTTTTTTATCTCCCGATATTCCAATCAACTGAGTGTTTAACTTGTTTTCCAAAGTGTGTTCTTTGTTAAATTTCCTCACATTAGCTAAAAAATTGTTTCTGTTATTAACACTGGCGAATTCGGCAACAATGGGTTTACATACACCCGATTTTCCAGGAATCCGATATATGTCCCGGAGCGCTGCTGGTTGTGTATCCATATTAACAGCCTTCCCGATGTCAGCTAAAACAGAAATGAGGTCTTCGGGCTTTTCTCTCTCTTTGATTGGTACGTTCCGAATCTCGATTGTGGCCTGACGGGCCTGGAAGTGTATGTCTCGTATTTGATTTCCTAGGCTGACAATGTTTTCTCTGCTATTCCTTTCATCTTCTTCTACTTTTGTCATCGTACCTCTGATTTCTTCGTATTTTTCATTGATGAAAGTTATACTTTTTTCAATTTCTGTGTTTGAGGCTTTGATTGAGAGGTATTGGTTTTTTAGGTCTGAAACGTCGTTGATAAGTTTCGTTAATATAACGTCTTGATCAGCTTTCCATGATGTGAGTCTCACGTCTTGTTCGGATTTCCAATTTGTGAGCATATCCAGGAGCTCTTTTTTGAGGTCTGTGCACGCTGCACATACGTAAGAACTCGCTTTGAGTGGAGAGTCGTCAACACGTTGTCTCTTACTGCGCACAGAAATATTCGTATCGCTGATGGTGGAAATAGGAGCCTCCGTTGGCGCGAAGTCGGGATCACATTGGAATTGTCCGTGCGCTTGTGTAGGTTTTGTTGAGGATGGTGGCGGAGTCCTTTGCATACTCATTTTGTAAACAAGTTTTCTAAACGTTGTTTTCTTGTTTTTTCTTCTGTATATTAAATAATGTATAAGTAGTAAAAAGATTAAAAAAAACTATTCAAAAATTACCCCAAACAATAGCAAAAATACAATTTTCACTAACTTGGCCCACTGAGGTTTGAACCCACGATCACATCAGTTTAACGATCGGAGTGATACATGTAGCACATGAGCCACGATAACGTTAAGTTTTTGATCGAATTTACACACTACTTGTTATATTTATAGCTTGAGGATGAACGCAGTGTGTTGTTATAAGTTATCGCAAGTATTTGTATCACCAATAAGGTCAAGGTCCGATTTATGCAGAAGTTTTAAAATTTACTAGTACCCACGTTAAATTCACAGAAACTGCATATTTATAATGTTTCAGTAGTTATTTCACCATGGTATTCCACACATTTGTCACTTTTTTGTTGAGGTAGGTGTCTGTATTACTTTTAAGGAGCTTTACACACTTTAAAGACTGATTTGCAATTTAAAAGATGACAGAACAAGAAGTACGTATGTGAGCGGTAGTGTCACGGACGGAACTTAAGATTGTTAAGGTTCATAGTGGAGAGGCTTTCGCTGTTTTTCCACTATAGTTAAACCGCCGTAAGCTTGGCCCTCCTGATGGTTTGCGGGACGCGGGGCGGGTGATGCGCTCGGCTATACATGACACGATGTACCAACTCGATATCTTCAGATTTATTTGTTTGAGATTTAATCTACACACGATGTAATAAAAATCGAATTTATTTCCATGTATTATAAAGTCAGTGTATTGTAAGTTTTTATGATTAATTGTAAAATTTAATCCTGTAAAATAATTTTAATAAAATCACCTTATCTTCATCATGTAAATTATATTCAGATACAATTTAAAGATTAAGTAAAATAATAAATATTCTTTATTGGAACTTTAACAGTAGAACCTCTGTAAGCCGAACTTCAAGTTTTTAAATTTTTTTGTGACGCAGAGTCGGCAGATTATCTATGTTGCAAAATAATATCGTGTGTAGCAGTCTTAAGAAAAATAACACGTACAGCCATGTTTTCACGTCAGTCACTGCCGGCGGACAGCGACGCACTAGCCAATTGGTTGAATGCACCCCCACCCCGCGTCCCCCAAACCATCAGGAGGGCCAAGCTTACGGCAGTTTGACTATAGTGAGTGAGGTTACCGGAGCTCAAAGCTCCACTCACCCTCTGATTTTGAGGGGGGCTCAAAACATGGCAACGGACTTGTGACGCTTAAGTTGCAGATGTCCATGGGCAGCGGTAGTCACTTAACGTCAGGTGACCTGTCTACTCGTTTGCCCCCTTCCCTATAAAAAAACCAATTTAATATTTATAAAATGGTATTCTTAGTCCCGAAGACCAAACGTCGACATTTTTTAATCTATAATTCGACAGCACCTCCTACCGCCCACGTGACGACCTTGTCCGAGGCTTCTTTCACCAACTATTCAATGTTGATTGATATGCATGTCTATCCGTCCGGTTTATGATAACAATCGACAAGCAAACACATTCGCTTATTAATTACTAGCTGACCCGCGCAACTTCGTCTGCGTCTCTCAATAGTAATAAATTTTCTCCGTTTTTGAAACATTCTTCATTGGTGCTCCGCTCCTATTGGTCTTAGCGTGATGATATATAGCCTATAGCCTTCCTCGATAAATGGGCTATCTAACACTGAAAGAATTTTTCAAATCGGACCAGTAGTTCCTGAGATTAGCGCGTTCAAACAAACAAACAAACTCTTCAGCTTTATAATATTAGTATAGATAAATTATTGTTTGAGTGAGCAAAAAGAGTGGTGACAAAAACGTGTTGAATTTTTAAAAAAAAATGACATGTCAAACTAGTCAGAGCTATACTGCTAATAAACATACTTTTACAATCACATACCTATTAGCATAGATAAATTATACACAGACAACAAATACTTAACGCCACACAATTGCTTGTTCTGGGTTTCAAATAATAAAATAAAAGGAATAAAAAAAGGTCAAGTTCGAGTCGGACTTGCGACCGAAGGGTTCCGTACCATTAAATGCGGGCTTTAACCGTCATATTTATGATTTCCGGATTTTGGAGGAGGTACTACTGCTACTTACTTCCTAACTCTAGGTAAATATATTCTATCTATTCCGATCTCTGCAATCATTAGTCAATGAAAACTTTGACAAATAATTTTTCAATAAATATGTTTTGGACAAATCTTTTTTAGCGGCAACGACGGACTAACCGACTAAAACCGCACGCACGATGATAAAGACGAATAGTGCATACATGTCTAAGAAAATAATCGAAGTCCGCATATTTTTCCTTTCTTTTTTCTTTTTATTTTATTATTTGAAACCCAGAACTAACATTTATGTGGGTACCAGTAGCCGCCGGATAACCAGGTGTACCCTAGGAAGAAAATCCAAAGTACATACATCCTAAAGCACACCTGACGCAAATTGACGTAATGCAGCGACCGGCAGTCTAGAACTCGTATACCACAAAATAACAAATACAAAACGAGCAGAATCTTCCACTCAGCCCTACCTATTCACAGAGATCGTTTTCCTCTTCATTTAAATTCACCATACGATTACTTAACACTTGTAATTGTATTATCACGCAATATCTCAACATAATCCTCGCGGAATGTCATATCTCTTGATCAATTTGTTCTCGGAACCTTTGTATCGCGGACAACATGGGCTGAGGATCAACGGCTTGCATGTCAATTGATCAACCACTTCGTTGGCGATGCTGAACATGTAGACTACTAGGTAGGGTTGTCACTAACCGTTTTTTGGTAAAACGTACCTGGAGGTAGGTTAGATAGTAGGTGGGCAGGGAACTGTGAGTGACTGCTTGGTCTATCAACAGAGTTTAGTAGTCTCCTGCTGGACATAGCATAGACCTCTCCTTAGCAGGTTTTGGCCTACTATACCACGCTGGTCATACGGGTTGTTATAAGGTTTGCTTCAAGTTTTCCTTCTCTTTGTACCTGTCCAGCGTACTTTGCTCCCTTATTCGGCTCTTACGAGGTAGTTTAGATAGCAGGTAGGCAGGGAACTGTGAGTGACTGCTTGGTCTATCAACAGAGTTTAGTAGTCTTCTGCTGGACATAGCATAGACCTCTCCTTAGCAGGTTTTGGCCTACTATACCACGCTGGTCATACGGGTTGGTATAGGGTTTGCTTTAAGTTTTCCTTCTCTTTATACCTGTCCAGCGTACTTTGCTCCCTTATTCGGCTCTTACGACACCCACGGAATGTATAGGGGTGGTGACTCAATATTCTTAATTTTTCAGCACATCATCTGATAAGAATAGTTTTTTGAACAGTCAAGGGGTTCAAAGAAAATAGTTTCAATACGAACGTGGGTTTTGTTTCAACGTTTGTAGAGGAATAAATTACTAAAACTTAGCTATCAAAATTAAAACTTAGCGAAATTTAGTTAATATTTTTTTTAGGGTTTAAACGTGAAGAGGTAACAGACAGATAGATAGAAAGACAGACAGACAGGCACAAATTCGCATTTATAATATAAGTATAGATATTAGGGTTCCGTACCTCAGAAGGCAAAAACCCTTATAAGATCACTTTCTTGTCAAGAAACGTCCATGTGTCACCACCGATTTTCTTAGGAACGAGTAGACCTAGCAAGTTGAAATTTATGCCATATACTAAGGTCATGTGTCAACATGATAAAAAGATATGGGCAAATTTAGTACCAAATTTACCTTAATTTTCAACATTTTTTAAAATCTATCTAAAATCCGGGTAGGTACGGAACCCTCGGCGCACGAGTTTGACTCGTACCTGACCGGTTTTTTAGTATGGTAGTAGTATGTATGTTTATGTCATAATTATGTTAAAAATCTACTTTTGTTATAAAGTTATCACTAACTCAATATTATATATGGTGTATTGCCAACCCTAAGCGTAAGTAAAATACTGCGAATATAAGTGATTATCATTTTTGAGTATGTATGTCTTTGATGTTGTCTGTTATGGCATTAAGACGAGGTTATAATGGGGAATACAATGGTTTATTACGTGTAGTAGTGTCCAATAGTTAATAGGTGTGTGTTGTCTGATTCTCGATAGATATCAGTGTATAAATGGTGAGGAATGGTAAGTTGACTTTGTACACTGGAGAGCAAGTATCTGGGTCACATAAAAGTAACTGAAATTATATATTCTAATTTAAAAATTTAGCATATTAGCTTTTGCCCTCGGTCCCACCCGCGTGTATATCACTTATCGCGGTAAAAAGTAGTCTGTGTCCTTTATCAAGAATCAAACTATCTCCATCCCAAATTTAATCTGAATTATTGATTCCCCATACAAACTGCCACCCCTCTTTTCACCCCCTTAAAGGATAATTTCTGGAACAAAAACTACCTTACGGGACCTACCTACTTACCTTTTCCGGGACTCACACTATCTCTGTACCAAATTTCATTTAAATCGGCTCACCGGTTTAACCGTGAAGAGGTAACAGACAGACACATTGTCGCATTTATAATATTAGTATGGAAGTTGGACTAGTATGGATAACATATATCTCATCAACAGCCTATACTACTCCAGTGCTGGACATAGGCCTCTCCTTAGAAAGGAGGTTTTGGCCTACTATACCACGCTGGCCAGACGGGTTGGTATAGGGTTTGTTTCAAGTTTGCCTTCTCTTTGCAGTGCTGTTGTCCTGCTTAGTTTGCTCCCTTAGTCGGCTCTTACGACACCCACGGGATGAATTGGGGTGGTGACAATTTGTATTCTTAATCCGTCACCACACGGGCCGGATAATAACCGGATAACATATATAACATAAAAATAAAAACTACAATTTTCCGAAATTTTAGTATTGTAACCACCACGAGCTGCCATTACTGCGGTTAAACAAACCGGGGGGGCGAATATGATAAATTTAAATTTTAACGGGGGGCAACGCACTTGTTGGCTCTTGAGTTGCAA